CCCCACGATAAATACAGACCCCAAAAACACAGTTCAGGATTTCATGTGCAGAAAGATACGTGGATGTGGTGATGAGGGACTTTGCTCCGGTGAAGAGAACACTCTGTTTAAAAGTGCGTTACCGTGGTTACAATAAAACTGTTACGTCCCGTCCATCACACCAATGTCCTTCTTTACTGTGTTTAAGAGCAACTTTTCTGCTGCATCCACTTTTTTCTCTTTGTCTCATGTTCTAACGTTGTTCCCTCTTTAAAATCTGCCTGAAGAGGTTTTAGATGTCAGCCATGCATGTTTGAGTCATCTAGTGATCTCTCCCAGGCAGCTTGTAGTTTCATTAGTGGGATGCAGGCTGATTGTGTTGTGATGGGGGAGTGACTTAGCGCAGGGAGCAAAGTGAGGAGCGATTATATATATGATTATATATGTGTGAGTATATATGTATGTATATATAGATAGATAGATACATAGATAGAGAAAAGAGAGAGAGAGAGAGAGAGCTAAGAGTGAGCGAGACATCGACTCACTGATCCACACCACCAGGATCTACAGCACAGACACTGGGATGTCATTCAAGCTTGAGAAATGTAGCAGGATGGTGACAAAGAGAGAGAAGGTAGAACACACAGAGGGTCTCACTCCCAGAGGGAACAATAGGAGACGTTGAGGACAGTTACAAGTATCTTGGTGTCCCACAAGCAAATGGCTCCTCGAAGAGGCAACAAGGAAAGTGACTATGGCCAAATACCTGCAAAGAGTCAGACAAGTCCTAAGAAGCAACTCAATGGAAGAACAAGGCCCAGGCAATAAACAGCTACACCCTGTCAGTGATCAGATCCTGCAGGAATCATGCACTGACCAAAGGAGGAGATACAGACCACAGATGTTAAGACACGAAAGCTCCTGACCATGTGGAGGGTTCATCCCAAATCCAACACCCTGAGACTGAACAAAAGCCAGAAGGAAGGAGGCCGAGGACTAGTGAGTGTGAACCACTGTCCAGGATGAAACATCCAAGCTCCTTGAGGACATCAAGGACAAGGCCCCGACAGATGAGGAGCTCAGAGAAGGTCTCAGACAGTGGGGTCCAGAGGAAGAGGAGCTGGAGGGACCATCATGGCAGGACAAACCCCTACATGAACCACCAGAACAGAACTGAAGTGGCTGATATCAAGAAATCCTACCAATGTCTTGAGAGGGTCTGAAGGACACACAGAGGCTCATCCTGGAGCTCAGGAGCAGGACCTGGGCACTCGAGCAAGAGGCCCAGATCTACCACACCAGACCAGAGCCACAGAACTGAAGGTGTCAGATGCTGCAGGGAAACAAACATGGAGCCACAGAACCAAGTGGCGGGCAGAGTGTACAGAAACATCTGTGCAGAGTACGAGCTGGAAACCCCAGGATCAAGGTGGAAACACCTCCAAAGGTTGTAGAGAAAGACCGAGCCAAGATCCTGTGGGACTTCAGATACAGACTGACAGGATGGAGATGGACCAACCAGACATAGTGGAGGTGGAGAAGAAACAGAGCAGAGCCGTGGTGGAACATCACAACACCAAGAGATGGAAATATCAGGAAAAAGGAACATGAGAAACTAGAGAAACACCAGGGGCTCAAGGAGGAGCTGGAGAAGGTCTGGAAACTGAAGACATCAGTGGAGCCTGTGGTGATCGGACACTCGGGCTGTAACCTCCAAACTGGAAGAAACTACAACAGATCCAGGAAAAACAACAGAACATCTCAGTCCAGAAAAGAACAGAACAGCAAAGATACTGAAGAACTGTCAAACTCCCAGACCTCTGATAGAGGAGCTGAGCTGGATGAGGGAGAGAACAACCACCATGGAAGGTGAGGAACACTTTAAAAATAAAATAAAATACACACATACATGCATACATATTTATATATATATGTATGTATGTATGCATGTGTGTGTGTATGTGTGTGTGTATTCATTTGACCTCTCAGGTTGTATTTGAATTCCATCCATTCCATTTTCTTCCACTTCTCTGGGGTCGAGTCTCAGGAGCATCAGTCTAAACAGGGACTCCCAGACTTCCCTCACCCCAGACACTTCCTCCAGCTCCTCCAGTGGGACCTGAGGTGTTCCCAGTCCAGTCCAGAGACATCGTCCCTCCAGTGTGTCCTGGGTCTTCTCCTCCTCCCGGTGGGACATGAACACCTCCTGAGGGACACGTCCAGGAGACATCAGAACAGACGTCCTCCCCTCAGACGCTCCTCTCCACGTGGAGGAGCAGCGGCTCTACTCCGAGCTCCTCCCATGTGACCGAGCTCCTCACTCTGTCTCTAAGGGAGACGCCCGGACGTCCCTGCGAAGGAATCTCATTTCGACTGCCAGAGGTGAGGGGAGGAACGGAGATTGACCGGTAAATCAAGAGCTTCGCCTTTGGGCTCAGCTCCTCTTCACCACAATGGTCCAATACAGCAACCGCATCACTGCAGACGCTGCACCTGTCCATGACGTATGTCTATAACGTCTATGAATATCCCAGTTGAATACTTTTTCACATCAATATTATTAGTTATCTCCTCTATAGGTTCAGTGAGGGCAAACACTGGTGATCGCTGAAGCTGCGTTGGGGTCATTTAGGATCGTGTATTTGTCTATAATTTATCTAGTCTGTATATAGATTTTCTACATTTTTTGAAAATTGCAGCAATATTGTCAAATATATTTTTTTCACCACCTTTATGGATTGGAATAACTCACTATTTTCATTTGTTCTGGAAATATGCCAGTTTTAAAAGATAAGTTGAAAATGTAAGCTAATGTCAGAGCTATTACATTGACAACTCTCTTAATGATGGAATATCTAGTTCATTACAGTCTGAAAATCATTTGTTTATAAAACTTTTCACAAAATCAATGATTTCATTTTCATTTGTTGCACAGAAAAACATGGGATGTGGGTTTGTGGCCACATTATCACATCTAAGCTCTGCACAGGGTGGAACTATTCTGGAGGCCAGTCGAGAACCAATATTTATCAAATAATTGTTGAACTCATTTGCAATTTCTTTTAAATCTTTTTTTTTTTTCATTTGCAATAAAATTATCTTGTAATGGTAAATGGTCACATTTTTCTATAGAGCTTTTCCACCTTCAAGGCTCAAAGCCCTTTTCAACAAGGAACCACTCACCCATTCACACACACATTCATACACCAGTGTACGCAGACACTGTGGGCAAGGTGGGTTAAGTGTCTTGCCCAAGGACACAATGACAGCATTCACCTGTGGGAGCTGGAATCACACCAGCAACCTGTGGGTCAGTGGATCTGACGCTCAACCTGAGATGTTTATGTCGAGAGCTGGAATTGAACCACCAACCTTCAGATCAGTGGGCGAATGCTCCACCAACTGAACTACTGCCGCCCTAAGGCTTCATCTCTTGGTACATTTTGAATTACTTCATTGATTGTGCTCCACAGCTTTTTAATTTGGTTCTTATTATTTTCCAATAATGTGCTATAATATTGTTTTTTACAAATTCTTAATATATTGGTTACGACACACAAGTACAGTTGTCTGGGTGTGATGAAATAAAAGTGTGCACGACTTCTTCAAAAAGTTTTAAAGATTAAAAAGGTTTGACTTCAGATAAAAGTCACAAATGATAAAATCTTGATTTTAAAACTCTGTTCATCTGTTTGTCAAATTTAAAATCACTGTCTAAGGTGACGCTGAGGTTGGTGACTGTGGGGTCCCACATCAATGAGAATTCTGCCGGACCAAAACATCATCACTCAGTTTTTGGGCCAACTGAGCCTTGACGTCAGAAACACAGTGGAGTCGAGGTGTCAGGGAGCAGTGATCCTTTTTTCCAATAGGCAAGTAAATCTGGCATCATCTGCACAAAAATGGTAAGAAAGTGAAGAACTGTCCTGGTACAGTGACTTTGGCCTCGTTCAGTTTCTGTGTTTAAAGTTTTTATTGAATCAAAATCAAATTTCAACAGTGACACTGAAACTCCATTTTGTTTTCTTCTTTCTCTTTATGTTTTGTTCTCATTGTGGGACAAGTCCAGTTTCTCTTCTGTTTTGTTGCGTCTCTTTCACTAGACTCACAGCGGAATCTTCACTCACCATTCTAAACCCTGGAAACAGAGGCTCGGAGAAGGACGAGAAGAAGGTCCAGAGGTGGAACAGTTCTCCATCAGAGGAGACCTTATAGTAGGACAGTTCTCCAGCCTCAGAGTCCAGGAACACGCCCACTCTCTTCGAGGTCACGCCAGTGAGAAAGAGTCGTGTTGATTTGCTGTCATGCGAGAAAGAGAGCTGTCCCTCACCATAGAACTCCAGACTCCAGGAGTGATCATTGTATCCAAATATATTTTCCAGTCCCGGTCCGCACCGTGTGATCTTTCTGTAACTCATTGCTACAAAAAGCCCCCCCGTCCAGTCCACCTCCCAGTAACAGCGCCCGCTCAGGCCAGTGCAGCTCAGGACCTGTCTCCAGTGTATGAACCTGTCGTCATGATCTGGATACTCCTGATCCTCCTGTGCAGTTGTCAGAGTCCGATGGTCCTCAGACAGAAGCAGACGTCTGTGCACTGAGTTTGGGTCCAGAGAGAAGTCACAGAAGTCTGAAACACAAACACTTCACCTCAGTCTTTTGTTCTGTCTATTTCTTAAACTCTCAGATGCTGGAGAGAAAAAGTAAAGGAAAACTAGGCTGGACGTATTTGAAACTCTCTGAAACATTTTCATATCGTGTAGACGAGATGAGTGTGGCTCTTGTTTACAGTACGGTTGCTCGGTCACAGTTATAGAACCACTTCGACATGTCACATCTGCGGCTCATGGCCCAGTGAAATGATAAACTTCACCAAAATGGTCCAATGAAGGAAAACTGGGTGAGATTTGAACCATTTGAAACTGAGTGAATGACCTGAGTGAATGACCTGAGTGAATGACCTGAGTGAATGACCTGAGCTGTTCTCTGCTCTTTACTGTGTGAAAGAAACAAAACAAACTCACACTTCCTCAGACCTGGAACCATCCAGCGCTCTCCAGCAGGATCCAACCTGAAACACACAAGTCCAGTTTAGACCAGACCAGGACCAGACCAGGACCAGACCAGGACCAGACCAGGACCAGGACCAGACCAGGACCAGACCAGGACCAGGACCAGACCAGGACCAGACCAGGACCAGACCAGGACCAGACCAGGACCAGGACCAGACCAGGACCAGACCAGTACAGACCAGGACAGACCAGACCAGTGACAGGACCAGTGCATTCTCACCTGACAGACAGCAGGGGGCGCTGGTCCTGTAGAGCGGTCAGGAGCTCGGCGGAGGGTCCTGGATGGTTGTAGCTCAGGTCGAACTCTCTGAGGTGGGAGGGGGCGGAGCTCAGAGCTGAGGCCAGAGCAGCCCCGCCCCTCTCTGAGACCAGACATCCAGACAGCCTAAAGACACAGCATTACACTCATGTGGACACAAGGGGGCAGAGTGCATCATGGGAGCGTCTCACCTGAGCGTCTCCAGTCTGCAGGGGGCGCTCTTCAGTCCAGAACACAGCAGCTCCACTCCTGAGTCCTGGAGGTCGTTGTGACTGAGATCCAGATGTGTGAGACTGGAGGAGCTGAGGACTGAGGCCAGAGGAGCACAGCTGTGAGGAGACAGACCACAGCCACAAAGACTGAGGACAGAGAGGGACATTAGAGACTAGAACCTCCACACAAGAGTTTAAATACAGTCTGAGGACAGAGAGGGACATTAGAGACTAGAACCTCCACACAAGAGTTTAAATACAGTCTGAGGACAGAGAGGGACATTAGAGACTAGAACCTCCACACAAGAGTTTAAATACAGTCTGAGGACAGAGAGGGACATTAGAGACTAGAACCTCCACACAAGAGTTTAAATACAGTCTGGACTCACAGGGCTTTGGTGGAGGCTCTGACCACCGGCAGCAGACCCAGGAGAGCGTTCTCTGAGCCCTGGTATTTCCTCAGGTCAAACTCGTCCAGGTCTGAGTCTGAGGACAGTAAGATGAAGGACAGAGCAGACCACTGAGCAGGAGACATGGTTCCATCAGCGTGACGACCTTCTCTCATGTTCTTCTGTATCTCCTGCACCAGACTTTGGTCGTTGAGTTCGTTCAGACAGTGGAACAGGTTCAGACTTCTCTCTGCAGACAGACCCTCTTCATCCAGCTTCTGTTTGATGAACTTTAATGTCTCCTGATTGGTCGGGTCACTTCCTGTGTGAGTCAGAAGACCCTGCAGCAGCCTCTGATTGGTCGGCAGAGACAGCCCCAGGAGGAAGCGCAGGAACAGGTCCAGGTGTCCGTTTGGACTCTGTAAGGCCTGGTCCACAGCAGAGCGGTAGAAGGCTGCCTCTGGTGTCATGGAGGGGACAGAGGAGATCTCTGTATCTGAATAGTCCTCAGACTCCTCAGAGTCTGGTGTCATGGAGATTTCTTGCGTCGAAGTGCATTTTCTTTTACGTTTTAATCCAGACTTTGGCATCTCAGAGGAGTGTGGTGTCTCCAGCAGGTTCTCTCCAGAGCTGTAGAAGGTCTGATGGACGTGAAGAGCAGCCAGAAACTCCTGCACACTCAGATGGATGAAGCAGTAGACCTTGTCCTGGTACAGGCCTGGCTCCTCTCTAAAGACCTGTGTGAACACTCCGGAGTACACTGAGGCCGCTGCAGCGTCCAGCCCACACTCGCTCAGGTCACTCTCGTAGAAGATCAGGTTTCCTTTCTGCAGCTGCTCAAAGGCCACTTTTCCCAGAGACTTCACCATCTCCCTGGTCTCTGGAGTCCAGTGAAGGTCCTCCCCTGATCCCTGCTGATACTTGATGTTCTGGACTTTGGCCTGCACCACCAGGAAGTGGACGTACATCTGTGTGAGAGTCCGGGGCAGCTCTGGTTCTGTTTGTTCCAGAAGCTTCCGTAGAACCTGTGGAGAGGATCCAGCAGAAGATCGGGATGTGGCTCATGATGTGGAGGCTGCGGACGCTCTTGATGTGGGAGATGACGACCGTGGCCTGGTCTCTGAACCTCTTCCTGAAGTACTGCTCCTTCTGCGGGTCGGCGAACCCTCGCACCTCTGTCACCATGGAGACGCACTCAGCAGGGATCTGATTGGCCGCGGCGGGGCGCGTGGTTATCCAGAGGAGAGCGGAGGGAAGCAGGCTCCCCCTGATGAGGTTCACCAGCAGCACGTGCACTGAGGCGGACTCTGTGGGGTCGCTCAGGACCCGGGTTCGGCCGAAGTCCAGAGGAAGTCTGCACTCGTCCAGACCGTCAAAGATGAAGAGCACCTGGAGCTGTTGGAAGCTGCAGAGATCTTTGGATGGACTGAAGAAGTGGTGCAGCAGCTCCACCAGGCTGAACTGTGTGTCTCTGAGCACGTTCAGATCTCTGAAAGTGAAGGGGAACAGCAGCTGGAGGTCCTGGTGGGCCCGGCCTTCAGCCCAGTCCAGACTCAACTTCTGAGTCAGCACTGTTTTCCCCACGCCGGCCACGCCCTTCGTCAGCACTAATCTGATTGGCTGTGGTGAATGTGGGCGGGGTTTAAAGAGCTTTTCACGTGTGATGGTCTCTGGAGCGGCCGGTCTCCTGGACACCGTCTCCACGTGTCTGACCTCATGTTCCTGGTTGACCTCTGAGGCTCCGCCCTCTGTGATGTAGAGCTCTGTGTAGATCTGGGTCAGGGGGGCGGAGTCTCCTGCTTTAGCCACGCCCTCAAACACACGACTGAACCTCTGCTGCAGATCACACTTCAGTTTATCTCTGAATCCAACTTTACTCCCTTTAAACAACACACAAGAGTTAGAATGTCAAACATGTCACATATTTCATACAGGAGGAAATCTGACACACAGGGAGGGACCTGACACACGGGGAGGGACCTGACACACGGGGAGGGCACCTGACACACGGGGAGGGCACCTGACACACGGGGAGGGACCTGACACACGGGGAGGGCACCTGACACACGGGGAGGGCACCTGACACACGGGAGGGCATGACACACGGGAGGGCACCTGACACACGGGGAGGGACCTGACACACTGGGATACAGGAGGATGGGAGGGCATCTGGAGGTTCTTACTGTCTCTCAGGCGCTGGGCCAGATGTTCCTGGTCCATCCTCTTCAGGAAGTCCAGGGTGATGTTCAGAACCTCTCTGCTCTCCTCCTCCTCACTCTCGGAGCATTCTGGGTAATCTGAGGCCAGGAGCCTGTGGAGCCTCTGCAGCTGCTGTTGGACAAAAGTCAAGACGTCCTCCTCCAGACGCTGGAACAGAACAATAAGAGAAGAGTTTTAGTCAGAGAGGATCTGAGGAGCCCCAAAACCCCACACATGCTGTGCTCGTGAGGTATCCATCCATCCATCTTCTTCCTCTTTTCCAGGGCCGGTTTGCGGAGGCATCAGTCTGAGCAGGGACTCCCAGACTTCCTTCACCCCAGACACTTCCTCCAGCTCCTCCAGTGGGACCTGAGGTGTTCCCAGTCCAGTCCAGAGACATGGTCCCTCCAGTGTGTCCTGGGTCTCCTCCTCCCAGTGGGACATGAACACCTCCTGAGGGACACGTCCAGGAGACGTCAGAACAGACGTCCTCCCCTCAGACGCTCCTCTCCACGTGGAGGAGCAGCGGCTCTACTCCAAGCTCCTCACTCTGTCTCTAAGGGAGACGCCTGGACGTCCTGCGGAGGAAACTCATCTGTGTCTCTTGTATCGTGGATCTGGTCCTTCGGGTCATGACCAGAGGTGAGGGGAGGAACAGAGACTGACACTAAATCCAGACTCAGCTCCTCTTCACCACAAAGACTGGTACAGCGACCGCATCACTGCCCACGCTGCACCTGTCCACCTGTCAATCTGCCCACGCTGCACCTGTCCACCTGTCAATCTGCCCACGCTGCACCTGTCCACCTGTCAATCTGCCCACGCTGCACCTGTCCACCTGTCAATCTCACGCTCCATCCTCCCCTCACTCGTGAACAAGACCCCGACACTTGAACTCGTCCACTTGAGGCAGAGACTCTCCACCCGCCCGGAGACGACAAGACGCTTTTTTCCGGACCAGAACCTCGACCTCGGATTTGGAGAATCTGATCTTCATCCCAGACGCTTCACACTCGGGTCAAACCGCCCCAGTGTATGAGGTGCCAAGTGTCACAGGGCTTATTTCGTGAACAAAATGCCTTTTGTGCCACAAAAAGGAGAAAATGGTTACAGAATTGTAAAACACCATGATGCCTTTCGTCCACAGAATGCACACATCGATTGTTAATGTGTCCACAAAATGATGAAGACAGTAGGTCATTTTATTTTATTTTATTTATTTTGTGGCCAAAAAGCAAAACAGGTTTTTCATGATGCACTGAATTTGCGGTTGACTAAATCATGTTGCATTTTATTTCACACCGAACAACCTTTGAACTAATCGTTTTTTGTAACTGAAGCGTTGAAGTGTAGCCGAGACCAGGGGTCAGGAACGTACAGCTCGCGAGCCAAGTGTGGCTCTTTTGATGATAGAATCTGGCTCGCAGATAAAACATAAAATATTCTACTAGTTTTAGGCTACGTTTACACACAGCTGGGTATTTTGGGAAACTAATATTTCCCTCCCTCCGTTTTCCAAAATAACATCGTGCACACAGCATCATTTTCAAAAAAGTTTTCGTTTACATCAACCCGTATAAATCCCCCATCGAGCGCCGTCAGAACTACACTGAGCCTCTGGGAGCACCTGGATCAGACTCAAACCTGTAGCATTTATTTCATTACAGTTGTAAGGATTACTCACTAATACCTTGAAAAAAACATGCATTAGTGAGTGGGCTCACCTCTTCATATGTTAAAGAAGTGGCAAAATCACTGACCTCCGAGTCCTTGTTCATCTCTGCTCATGGATATGATTGTGCAAATGCAAACACATGAAAAGTGTTTGCACATGTGCATTGCTCGTATCACTGTTAAAGTTTTGTAACTTGAGTAACTGTTAACTTTAGTAGGCAGTTATCTTGTTCATCATGCTCCATTTTTCAGTGTAGCTCTGAAGCTGAACCATCAGACTGACACATGTTTGGATAAATCCTTTGGTTTGAGCGGCTCGTGTCTCATCTGCAGGATCTGTACAGTTTGTGTCATCGAGCAAAAACAAGAGCAACTTGTAAATTTAGCCCTGATGTGATCTGTGACTTTGGCCAGAGTCAAACAGGATCACACATTTATATTTGTGTGAGACCAAAGTGTCACGTCGGAGTCACTTCTGAAACTGACAGACTGATGTTTCATCTGGATGTAGTTGTGATGTTTTTACTGGACGTGTTCTTTGTTTTCTTCAATTTTCTCAGTCGTCTGTAAACGGAGCAACAAAAAACTTTAGCCCAGATGTAAAATCAGCCTGAACGTTTCACAGTGACGCGTTTGTGTGGATCAACCCGTCTGGAATTTGGAGGAGGATTTAGAATGATATTATTTATTTAATAATTTATTGTTGGGGGAGCACTACCGCTGAAGTTACTCAGTTCTGCTTTAACACACATAACTGGGAAAGTCAGCTGTAAATTCAGTGCATCATGAAGAACCTGTTTTGTTTTTTGTCCACAAAATGACCTACTGTCTTCATCATTTTGTGGACACATGAACAATCGATGTGTGCATTCTGTGGACGAAAGGCATCATAGTGTTTTACAATTCCATAACCATTTTCTCCATTTTGTGGCACAAGAGGCATTTCATTCACGAAATAAGCCCTGTGACACTTGGCACCTCATACCAGAGCTGCAGGTCCTGGTCTGATGAAGACAACAGGACAACATCATCTGTAAACAGCAGAGATGATCCTGTGGTCCCCAAACCGGATCCTCCGGCCCCTGACTGCACCTTGACTGTCCATAAAAACAATGAACAGAACCGGTGACAGGGGCGGCCCTGGCAGAGTCCTGCATGCACCGGGAACAGGTCTGAATTTCTGCAGCAATGAACACAGCTCCTGCTCCGGTCACACAGGGACGCAAAGGACCCCGGACCCCAGACTCTCAGAGCGCCCCCCACAGGACACCACGAGGGACACGGTCGACTCTTTTCCAGATCCACAAAGCACATGTGGACTGGTTGGACAAACTCCCATGAACCTCGAGCACGATGGAGAGTGTAGAGCTGGTCCAGTGTTCGACTGGAGTTCTCACCTTGAATATGACGTCCAGCTGCTCCTCTGGGCCTGGCTCCCTGTCAAACAATAAACACATCATCATTTATTTATTCCAGACTCATGGTCCATAAAAGAACAGAATAAGACAGAGACAAGAGTAAAACAGGGTTCTAAAGTCACCTCAGTGTTTCCATAAGAGCAGTGGACCTGCACAGCACTAAACCTGACACTCAGCAGCAGCTCCACCACAGAGTTCACACTGTGGATTTATTCATCAGGTTTGTCATGAAACATGAGACCGACACTACAGGTCCTGGACTTTTCCAGCAGCATTCTGACACCATCAGTAGATACTTGAGCTTTTATTTTACTTATTTGTCATTTCTTTGTTGGACAGGGACAGTGCATATTCATGAACATCTGTAATTACACTTCTACAGCGCTTTTCCATCTTCAAGGCTCAAAGTGTTTTACAACATGGAACCACTCACACATTCATACACCAGTGCACACAGACACTGGGGGCAAGGTGGTTTAAGTGTCTTGCCCAAGGACACAGCGACAGCATTCATCTGTGGGAGCTGTGGATCAGTGGATCTGATGCTCAGTCAATGATGTTTTATGTCGACAGCGGGATTCAAACCACCAACCTTCAGATCAGTGGATGAACACTGCTGCCCCAAAATATAAAAATGTAAATATGTCAGACTATAGCAAAAAAAGATCATTTCCATCTTTTGTCTCTATCCAGGTGACACAGAGAATAAGTACAAAATATAGCTGCAAGCGGCATTGATAGGCCCTCGCGCTTACGCTGCGCCCTGCAAACGCCACGCCCCATAAATGCCGCGCCCTTCAGAACGCCACGACCTGCACCAACGCTAATAACCCTAAGCTTAAACCTAACTCTAGTTATAATCCTAAACATAGACCCAACCCTAACCCTAACTCTTAACCTAACCTATCACTTTTCAACATTTTTGCATGTGTTTATAAATAATAATAATAATAATAATAAAAATAAATAAATAATTCAAGATGGTGGACTTCTGGTTTGTAATGGGGCGTGGTCACAATATACATTTTTGTTCTTATTCCCATGATGCATGTGGCTACCAAATTTGGTTTGGCTGTCCGGCCTGTCCATCAAAATTTAAAACCCTTGATTGAGATCATCAGGTCTGATGGAGAATGTGTTTAGCCTTAGATCTGCTGAGGTCTAAAGACTATGGGGCTGTATCTTGCCCCTAGTCTTAGCTCTAAACCCAAGTGGCCGTGTCCAGGTGGAGCTGTTCTTCGCTGCTGGAGGTTGGAGTGGGACGGTACAAGTACAAATATGGTGTCTGCCTCTAAAGCTGTGGCATTTAAAAGCTCTGCCTGTGTGGGAAAAGTCTGTAAACTTTACCTCATTATCAAGCGGCACAGAGGAGTGTGGGGAAAAGTGAAATATGTGACAATAAAACGGCTCCAGAGCTTCACGATGCAAGTCCACACCAGCAGAGGCACAAGGAATATCCAGTTTTGTATAGGCCATGACAGAACTGACTGGGTCTGTGTTCCGAACCCTCCACGTGCACGTGCCCCTCATGCACACACAACTTTTTATAGGTTCCTCTGCTTTCGTGTCTGTCTCATGTGCTCCCATCTTACAGCAAACCCACTGCTTTCTCACACCTTCTCCCGTCTGTCCCACAGTCCACTCCCACTGACTCACCTGAGGTACAAGTGTCCACCTCAGGTCCCGCTGACTCACCTGAGGTACGAGTGTCCACCTCAGGTCCCACTGACTCACCTGAGGTACGAGTGTCCACCTCAGGTCCCGCTGACTCACCTGAGGTACGAGTGTCCACCTCAGGTCCCACAGACTCACCTGAGGTACGAGTGTCCACCTCAGGTCCCACAGACTCACCTGAGGTACGAGTGTCCACCTCAGGTCCCACTGACTCACCTGAGGTACGAGTGTCCACCTCAGGTCCCACTGACTCACCTGAGGTACGAGTGTCCACCTCAGGTCCCACTGACTCACCTCAGGTCCCGCTGACTCACCTGAGGTACGAGTGTCCACCTCAGGTCCCGCTGACTCACCTGAGGTACGAGTGTCCACCTCAGGTCCCGCTGACTCACCTGAGGTACGAGTGTCCACCTCAGGTCCCGCTGACTCACCTGAGGTACGAGTGTCCACCTCAGGTCCCGCTGACTCACCTGAGGTACGAGTGTCCACCTCAGGTCCCGCTGACTCACCTGAGGTACGAGTGTCCACCTCAGGTCCCGCTGACTCACCTGAGGTACGAGTGTCCACCTCAGGTCCCGCTGACTCACCTGAGGTACGAGTGTCCACCTCAGGTCCCGCTGACTCACCTGAGGTACGAGTGTCCACCTCAGGTCCCGCTGACTCACCCGAGGTACGAGTGTCCACCTCAGTCCCGCTGACTCACCTGAGGTACGAGTGTCCACCTCAGGTCCCGCTGACTCACCCGAGGTACGAGCGTCCACCTCAGGTCCCGCTGACTCACCCGAGGTACGAGCGTCCACCTCAGGTCCCGCTGACTCACCCGAGGTACGAGCGTCCACCTCAGGTCCCGCTGACTCACCCGAGGTACGAGCGTCCACCTCAGTCCCGCTGACTCACCCGAGGTACGAGCGTCCACCTCAGGTCCCGCTGACTCACCCGAGGTACGAGCGTCCACCTCAGGTCCCGCTGACTCACCCGAGGTACGAGCGTCCACCTCAGGTCCCGCTGACTCACCTGAGGTACGAGCGTCCACCTCAGGTCCCGCTGACTCACCTGAGGTACGAGCGTCCACCTCAGGTCCCGCTGACCGCTCACATTCTCGTCAGGTCCAGTGTGTTTGGTCTCACACAGGTGGACGTCTCATGGATTATGAAACACGTTTACTGTCATATAAATGTTTCTGTGTTACAGTTTTGCACACAGACATGAGACGTGCGTCTGCTTCGCTGTCACAGCCTCGAGGTGTCAGTGAATCAGTGAATCAGTGAATCAGTGAATCAGTGAATCAGTGAATCAGTGAATCAGTGAATGTTCGCAGAATCCGGCCGTGACAATGTGAATAAATCTGACATTGCAGCATTAGGACACAGAGTAAGAAAACAGACTTTAGGACGTCGCTGTAAACGGCCTCATGTGAACGAGCAGCTTTTGTACAGATCCAGGTCAAACCAAACTGTAGAGCAGAGCTGAGGTGATACAGGGAGCGGGCGAGGGGCTGTGCTCTGCAGTGGGAGGGTAACTGGACGACTCCCGCAGCACAAAAACATGTTACAAATGTGAAGCATTTATCATCCTAATAAATTTCTAAATAAAAGAAGCCTTGTGCATGTTACATGATGTTTTTCAGTGGACTCGTTTGATATTTATTTTTACGACTCTGTCTGCTCCACTCCACCTGATGTTCAGACACGACACACCGACTGTTGAGAGCTCCACCCCCCGCACTTGCTCTAAGAAGTGTTAAGACTGGGGGCAAGACCGGCCCTATGGGTGCTGTTGGTGAAGTGTGTTAGAAAAGGATAATCTTTGGTTAAATGTGTGTGAACTAAACTGTTTGCAAAGGGAGGAACTTCATCGACACCAGTTGGATCTGGTGCATCTCAAATGAGTTTATTCTGAGCTCAGAGAGCGTCAGACGCTGGAGCTCACGTGTTCTGCAGGACAGTAGTTTGACTCTGGACCACACGACCAGGACAGAGAAGATCTGAGGCGTCCGACAGTAACAGCTCTACTCAGTTTGGTCTCTGCGTGTGTGAAAAGACCTGTTCAAATGTCTCACCTCTGGTCTTCAGGAGGAGCTTCTCCAAACTCAGGAGGAAGGTTTTTGGAGCGGTCACTCTTCAGAGACACAGAGCTGGGAGCAGGTCCAGGTCTGGGTTTAGACCCGGGGCCAGGTCCAGGTGGGTCCATGTTGTAGGAGCTGGAATCAGAAGAAGAGTCAGTTTGAACAGAACATACTGAGATGCCTCCTGTTTAGAAGTTCTCCTGAGGCTAAAGGAGAACAGAGCGGTGGAGTCACTTCTGAGCACAGACTGTATAAAGACGAGGACTGAGGCGAGGGAGGGAGGGAGGGCAGCTTCATCCATGATATTCCTAATATGGAATTTGGAGCTGAGTTCCAAATTAGGAATAGGAATTTATTTATTCACAGCACAATCATGTTGAGCGAGTTAATACAAACATTTTAAGACCAAAATGACGAGGTTCACTCCAGCAGCCACAGAGAGAGGAGCCTCAGTTTCTCAAAGTCAAGCAAATTGGAGACAGAATCGATGGAGCCAGAAGCACCTCCATGTTCTCTTCCTGTTTGACAAGTGGCTTAGCTCTGTCCTTTTATATCCAGTCTATGCTTCTGAGTTGATAAAACCAAACCAATGCAAACCATAACTAGAGAAGCAGTCAGAGAGCGCAGACTCCGCCAAGGACCACAGTCCCCCTCATATTAATTGTGTTTTCCATAAATATTTGTCTCGTATCTTTCAATTTGGAATATGAAAGAGGATCCCATTGTCCATCCCTGAGTCAAATTTCATGGGGTTTGGTCAATAATTAACCCAGATATTGAGAAACAAAATTTTTGGCCCCATTTACCACAATGTTAACTAAAATTTCAAAGTGATCCAGAATCCAGGATTTCTTCTGGATCAAACCCAAAATGAAATCAGTTCTTCCTTTTCACATTTCCAACAAATCCTGAAAATTTCATAAAAATCGGTCCATAACTTTTTGAGTTACGTTGCTAACAGACAAACAAACAAACAAACAAACAAACAGACAAACAAACAAACAAACAAACAAACAAACAAACAGACAAACAAACAACAAACAAACAAACAAACAAACAAACAGACAAACAAACAAACAAACAAACAAACAGACAAACAAACAAACAAACAGACAAACAATCAAACAAACAAACAAACAAACAAACAGACAAACAAACAAACAAAGAAACAAACAGACAAACAAACAAAGAAAACAAACAGACAAACAAACAAAGAAACAAACTCCGGCAAAAACATAACCTCCTTGGTGGAGGTAATTATTAGTAACTGCACCAATATTGTGTAAGTGGATAAACAGAGAACAGCAGCCACACGTTTTAATACAGGAAGTAGAGAACAGGAGGAAAAGCACAGGTGTGAGAGCTGCACACTCATCTTTGGTTAAATGCAGTTGAACAAAAGTAAATAAAAAAATCCATAATATATTTACTGTGATGATGTGTTCAGGGTCGTCCTGGTTCAGAACAGCTGATTCTTTGAGACTTCTGTACAATGTGTAGAAGCCCCTGTGATCCTGTCCCACCTGAGCTCATCTGTCCCAAACTGAGAGCAGCTCCAGTCAAACACAGGATCATCCACAAGTCACAAGTTCATTCATTTGTACCAATAAACAAAAACAATGACATATGAATCCCTTTTAACAACCTAAGGTTTTACCGACACACAACTGGCTGTAAATATTTTGAAACTTGCATCTTGATTCAAATATTTGTCTTTTTAATTGATATTTTTAGTACACTTTTTGGTTTTATATTTTGTACAGATAAAAAGTCTGGAGGCTGTCACTGCCCGATTTGAAACCTTACCAGATTTTGCACACTTTTCCAAACTGCACATGCCCACATACTTCGCCAACCATGTTTTGACCAAACCTCGGAAAAACTTTGGCTCAAATTCACTCTTATAATATAAACTGTTAAACTGATCAATGGATCGATGTTGATCTGAACGTGCTGCACCCGTTAGATGAGGGTCCGACACTCACAGAGATGCAGCTGATATTTAAAGGTTGTATGGAGGATTATTTTTTTTGTTTCAAATTGTCAGTGAAAGTTTAAAACACCATTACAGAGACACAGCAGCCTTGTAATTATAATGACCAGCAAAAAAAAGAATGAAAATCTATCAACTGTGGACGTGTTGAGGCCAGATAAACATCAGCCAATAGAAAACAAGGCTGCCTCATTTTCTATTGGCTGTTAGGTTGTCAATCAAACTCCCTACGTTTCTAGTGTAACTGACGGGATTATGTGGTTTATGCAGCGGTTCTTCGAGGCTTTTTCAAACTGTCGCTTCCTCACAATTCGCACAAAGTTTGTCGCGACGGCGGACGAGAATCCACGACCAGTTCGCCGCAAAAGAAAGTCGGTTTTTGAGGTCGGTGAAAGAAGAAGAGAAGAGGAAAAGGAGCGAAGACAAACTGAGGTGATTCTTGGAGATTCCTTCCAGCGACGGCGCGACTGAAACAGACGAAGGGTCTAAAAACTGACACGTCGGTCGATAAAATATTTCTAGACAGGAAACTTCAACAGTGATTCTGAACACGTACGGATGTAAACAAGTGTGACTCTAGAGTAAAGCGGCGGGAGGAGATGTTTCTATTGAGGGAGAAACATCTGAAAAAATTGAAAAAGGACGGTCGCTGTATTTCTCTTCCCTTAAAAAATCCTCTATACAACCTTTAAATAAAAAATAAATAAAAAAACAGATTGTGTCATGTACTAATTAATAGGCTTCTACTTCATAAAAGTAAAACATTATGACATTTAAGCGGTCAGGACTTTTGAGACGACATTAACATTCACCTTTTATCCACAGTAGGAGAGAAAGTGTGAAGTGAACTGTAAAGGGAGGAACTCGTGACATCAGAGCGAGAGGGACACAAATCTAACCTGCTGCACCGAATTCAGATCAACGTCGACCGACACCGAGCGGTAGTGACGGACAAATGAGTCGGAGCTCGTCTCACGTGACCAAAGTGTGGAAGTGTGGGTCCCTCCCCCTGCTGCTTCTCTCTGCGCGTCGATCGCTTCAGTGCATCGAAGCGTTTCATTGGCTCGGTGAATGTTCCGCTCTGTGATTGGTTCAGAGTTTCAGAGTTCAGTGCACTTCTGTGGTTTGACGAGCGCTAAACTGTTACAGTATAAAAGACGCACCAATATTTATTAAAAATGTTGAGATGAGGATTGTGTGACGTTAGTGGTGATTTTGGCGACTTTTGGCGTTTGTTTCATTTTCGATGCGTCTACAAGAGGAAAAAAACTATAAATGGTTTGGGATCATTTTGATCTAATTCCACCAAACAAGGTCACACCTCTTTTCTTATTTACAGCTGTTATTTATGTTGCTCTTTACATATTATTTTAAATCATCATTATTATTGTTGTTGTTGTTCGGTGTCGCTCTGCACACAACTATTGTCTTATTGTTAAATTTGTCCACTAGAGGTCAGTGTTTCTCCAAACCTCAGACACGTCCAACCATTTGAGACGATATTGTGACTGAGGCGTCGATGCTTCACGAGGCTCAATTCGACCAGCACTACCAATCGGATCTGGTGCATCTCAAATGAGTTTATTCTGAGCTCAGAGAGCGTCAGACGCTGGAGCTCACGTGTTCTGCAGGACAGTAGTTTGACTCTGGACCACACGACCAGGACAGAGAAGATCTGAGGCGTCCGACAGTAACAGCTCTACTCAGTTTGGTCTCTGCGTGTGTGAAAAGACCTGTTCAAATGTCTCACCTCTGGTCTTCAGGAGGAGCTTCTCCAAAGTCAGGAGGAAGGGTTTTTGGAGCGGTCACTCTTCAGAGACACAGAGCTGGGAGCAGGTCCAGGTCTGGGTTTAGACCCGGGGCCAGGTCCAGGTGGGTCCATGTTGTAGGAGCTGGAATCAGAAGAAGAGGAACAGGAATTTATGTATTTACACCAGAATCATGCAAAACCAGTGAATACAAACATTTTAAAATGACAAGGTTCACTGCAGCAGCTTCTGAGTTGACAAAACTGTTTAGTTTGTGACAAAATCAACAGTAAAAATATTAAGCACAATTTAGCAAACACATTTTGTGACCTGGACACCTGTGACGCAGTCTTCATCTGTTCATGTGATGCTTGGAGATGATATGAACTTCTGTCAAACCCTGAGCCACTGATGACTGTGTAAAACAGTCTGTGGTTTATTATTCCTAATAAAATCTGTACAAATTTAGGGGCTATAAAATTTCTTCTCAGCTGTGACTTCTATGGTAAAAAAAAGTCTCCTCTTTTCATCAGAAAGTTCTTTTATACTGGGGTCTAACTCCAGTCTAATTATAATTACGAGTTTTACATCTCAAATGCCAAACTTCCAAATAGTAAATTAGAACATTCTTAATGGAGCTCTTTTCCTCTTTATTTCAAATGTAGATTCTATCTTCCAGTTTGTTTGTTTGTTTGTTTGTTTGTTTTTTCATTTTAAGAAAAGAAGAAAATCCGTACATTCTATTTGAAACTTTCCATTCCCCTAAAGCTGATGAAGGCCGTTCAAACATTCAGACATGTTCCCCACTGAAGAACTGCTCAGAGTGTTTTGTGATGGACAACAACTGTTCCTTCTATGATGTAAAGACTGAAAATATTTCATGTTTTTAAACGTGCCTGTTCTTCTAAGGTGATATAGTTTGTCTCAGCTCTAATATCACAGGCCTGGTGCATCAGTGCAGCTGTGATCACGGGACAGAGCAAAACAACTAGTAAAGCAAAGTTTTTTGTTTGATTAACAATCCTGAAAACATTTTTCAACTCCAAAAGAAGGTTATTAATATTTGACTTTGTTCCTTCATATTTGCACACAGTAGTTCAAGTATGAAAGGAACAGGCTGTTACAGTAAATAAAGTCATTTTTGATTCAAGAGACTCGGTTTTACTCATCATAGCAACAATTTCAGCAAACTTTGTCAGTTAACTAAATTTTTCATTCAATTTCTATTTCTATTATCTATTCATTTTATATTAATTAAATACATTTGAAGAGTTAGTTAATCCTATAATACAGTAACTATATAATGTAAAATATTGTGCAGTAACTAGTGTATAGAATATAATTCTTATTAAAATGTTTTATCAGATTGATGATGCCTGTTTTAATTTTAGTTGTGTAGCTCCCACACCCAGGAGCATCTCTGAACCAGAGGCCTGCAGAACTAAACTCAGAATCCTGAAGCCAACTGTGTTTAATAAGTTCTGCAGCGGGTCGACAGGACTAGTTTGACTTGACCTGGTCTAAACTACACAGAGCTGAACCAAGGACATGCAAACATGAAATACTCACTGCACCACCGTCCTCTGCACACAGCTCAGA